CCCCAAAACCCCAAAACCCCAAAACCCCAAAACCCCAAAACCCCTATTTGGATGGAATTGGTTGAACTAAACTATCTGAATAGAGTCTTCACTGCATCATGAATCTCAAAATCAGTAGCAGGTGCTGGAGGAGGCCTAGCTGCAGACCTTGGCCTTTCGAAATGAGGACTCCTTTCTTTGTAAGCACTCCGGAGAGGACTTATTCCTCTAGGATTTGCTTGGATTTGTTGGACTATGTTTTGTCTCTCTGTCGGAGGCCTCCGGTTATAGAAGTCATCAACTCTGGTGAAACTGTTATTTCTTGGGAGACTAGTTCTTCTTCCGTATAACGGTGGTTTATAATCAGGCATATATCCTCTTTCAGGCTCTACTTGGGTAATTATTTCCTGAGCAGGTCGGAAACTAGGAGGATATGCTCTATCAAATGTATTATAGGTTTGTTCCATTGGCATGAGATTTGGCACAGGAGGTGGTGGTTTTGGAATAGGATTATTAAGCACATTATCAATGTCATTTATCAGTTTACCAACGTTGTAGTCATCAGCTGGGTCTAAAATTAATAGTGAAACTTACTATGAGCTAGCCTTGATGGAATGGATGGAGGAGGAGCATACCCAGGCATTTGATAGCGAGAGGGGCTATATGAATTCCTCACAGGAGAAGACATATAAGCACTTGGCTTATAAATATTACCACTTGAGTATCCGCCACTTGTAGCATACTTATTTGCATAAGAATTCCCAGGAGGATGATATTTTGAAGGAGATAGAGTAATATGGTTTGGATTATTCCAATAAGTAGCGGTTCCTGCATTGTGTCTTACAGGACTCGTATACGGACTCTTTACATAGTTATAATTAGTACTACTATATTGATTTCCTGAGTTAACATTATAAAATTTAGGTCTACCACCCATTGCAGAAGACATGACCATGAACTCGGAAGAAATGACATTAACTTCAGAATTAAGCATGTCCAGGTTCCTATTAATATTCATAACTTGAGTGAGAGGGTCTATTTTAGGCACATAAGTAGGAATCTTGGGAGGCTCTTTTACTTCCTCTTCTTCTTTTTCTGATTCACCACCTTCTTCGTCCTCTTCACCTTCTACATCCGGGTCTACTTCATCGTCTGACATTTGAAGTTTATTTAAATTATATTTCTCAAAAAATTTAAATAAAATTGGGGTTTTGGGGTTTTGGGGTTTTGGGGTTTTGGGGTTTTGGGG